GAACCGGCCGTCCGCGCCCTGACGTCAGCCCTGACGCCTCGTCTCGCTCACCCGCCCGTACACGGGAGGCAAATCCACTTACGTCCCCGTCCTGCGGGGAAAGGCGCCCCAGCAGCGCCCCTCGGGCTGCGGGGAGGAGCCGAGCCCCAGCCCCCGCGCTGCCCTCACCCAGGAGGGGAGGTGTCCTTCGCCCCGCACTGCGTACCGCTTGGCGTCACATCACACACCGTCAGCTGCGCCTCTGAACCACAGCAGCAAGGCAAAACTGGGGCAGAGAACAGAACCACCAGGGAGGTTATCCCCTCACAGCACAGCGCAGAACGCCGAGGCGGGCAGAACAAGTAAGTACGTATAACATGACGTTTATTTGATAGCCTGGACATGCTCCGGGCTGAGGCGTCACACCGACGGCACGAGTTATGAGCCTGACGACACACACACACGTCTAAGCACAGCTGCACACTCAAAGCACGAGTCAGTGCGGAGCCCGCACACCGCTTCGTTCTCAAGGACAAACTACGAGCCACAGGAGCTCCCCAGCCCCAACCCCACCGGCAATTTAACAGCCTGTACGGCAAACAGGACGTGTGCCTTGTGCCGGAGCCCATGGCGAGACGTGCGCCTTGTGCCGTCGGCCACTGCTGACAAACAATTACTCTGCAATTTGTTGGCTCAGATGCAGCCAAAGAGAGCATTCAGCTTACAAAGGCTTAGCGCTCCGAGCCAGAGGGAATATTTAGTGCAGCGGGTTCAAGCAGCAGCCACAGTTCACACAGCACAGTTCCACACTCTATTTTTGTGCGTTTATTCCATTCCAGCAGAGATCAGCACTGCCTTAAAAACTGCTCTATCAACGTCATTATGTGGGTCTTGCTCCAGGCTGGTAGCTACTCCTTTGAACATGAATGCAATTACTGTCTCGATATTCTTTCAGTTTATTCTTTTTTTATGCCTTCTGTCATTATCATTCTGTCCCTGATCTGTCTTTACGCTTCTGTTTTGTGTCTTTTATATTACAGATCCACATAGTGACAGAAGGGATCAACCATTGGTACTATCAAACTCCCAGCCTGTCAGGCCATCAAATCGAGTTGGGTTTTCTTCCCCCTTAATCTGGTTTGGTTATCTCAAGCATTTAGTTTAGCAAATCTACAGCACAACTGGATTCCTCTCCCACGCACTGTTCTCCTGGAAGAAAAACTGTTATTGTACTGAACAAAAAAAAAAAAGAAATATAAAAAATGTACCATCTAGCAAAAGCATGGTTGGCACGGGGCTGTTCACAACAGAGCTTTAACTCTGAACGCCTTTTTGGCAAGCTCATTTGGCTGCTCCCGTCGTTTTGTTGGTATCGTGTCCCCCTTTGCCCTGCTCATACTACGGTCTGGTGACCAACGCTCCTGAAGCGCAGTAAAGACATCCTAACAGACTGCCTGCCCATTTATTCGGCTCCAGGGACTCGGTTAGTGGCTCAGCACCAGGCGACAAAGCCTTTATCCTTCACATATGAAGCTTTTCCACAGGTGAAGTACATTACCCTGATGCCGTACTGCCAGACCATAAACCTCTTAGCACATCCAACACGAAAAGAACCTATTTTTTCCATTCTTGGTGGCCAGTGGGTTCGGGGAAGAAGCTCTGGGAACAGCGTTGTCTTTTACAGCAATACAGACAGTGCGTGGATAAAAGCACGTCACCTTCTCTAAACCCGAGAACAGAAAACACTCAAGGGGCAGCAGCAAAAACTAAAACCAACTTTGGACTGGTGCTTGCAACTCAGAGCACACAAATTATTACGGGTCATAAACATATTTGTTTGCTGCTTGATTACAAAGCAGAGAAAGCTGCGCTGTTAACAGGGAGAGAGAAGAATGTGTACGTAGTGTTAGTTGTCTGCTATCAATACTTGAGGTTTTGATTTATTCTTTTTTTAATTTTTTTTTTTTTTTAAGATTCGAATTTCACAGCTATGCTTCCCACTTGTACAAGGCTTTTTTTGTTTAATCATATACATCAAGTAAGACAAAGCTTGCCTCTATAATTTAGAGCTTCGACTGTTCTGGAGTGGATTATTTACAATAGACAGAGCTGAATACTAACAGCGCCTAGAAACTCTAACTAGTCCCAGACATGGTTACTTGGTTCCTTAGAGAGCCCTTCTACTCCGTGGCTGCAGATGTCTGATTTAAAACTGCACTCATTCAGACCTGTTTAACAGTGTTAGTCTGAACAGGCTCTGCCGTAATCTGCCTCTTGGCGCAGGACACACCAGCTAAGAGCAGTAGGGGATGCAGAGCTCCAAATCCCTACGTGGACGGCTGTTTATGATCCCATTCTTCAGCTACAAATAGGGGAACAACATGATCCTTTGAGCTAGAACGGAACAAGACGTCGGGCTGCAAATAAGTTTTACTAAAAATATTTGAACAAGGTATTGCAAAGTTGGAAGTATTTACAATAGTTGCTGAAATATCCAGCATTTAAGCAATTCGCCCAGACACGGTTACAAACCACAAAAAGGGTAACAGCTTTTAGACATACTGCACGTGCTACCTGAAGAACCAAATCAGCTTCGAAGTCACTTGTAAGATCTGCCATCAAGGCACCTCTGAACAGGTTCTGGGCTGTTCTGGTAAACTAGCCAGGCATAATTGAATAATTTGCTTCTGGACTCAGCTCAGCGAAAATCAACATGAGAAAGATGTGTACACTTACAGTCAGGATACAGCAGACAGAATGGCAGTAACATCAGTCAGTTCTCCCTCAGGACCGAAGGAGTCACTGGGTTTGCGGTTCTGTCTGTAAGAGGCACCGCTGCCCAGACCGTTTGACAAAGTCAAAGGACTGCAGACAGCTGCTGAAGGTGTCGAGACAAGTTAACCTAGGTTTGATCTTTTTTCAGCACTGAAGCGCAAGTCATCCCAGTGGATACACCCAAATGACGGTTTTCCTTCTGCAGCACACACTGTGACTGCATCAGTTCACTCTTACCCCAAAGGGACTTCCAGAGCTAAGAGTGACTGCTTCCAGAATCCACGAACCTGTTGCTTTTAGATGGATTATACAATAAGCAGGCCATGCTGCTGCAACGTTACAATCCTAAAAGCGTTTTTGCTTCTTCACTCTGTGCCATGAGGGTTTCACTGGCATACTTCTGAAGAAGTTCCATCTTCTTTCTCCGTACAAGAGCTTCCTCGATCTGCAAATATAAAAACAGGATGCCGTTCAGCTTAACTGAGGCGCTGAAACCTAGCGTGCTTAGCTATTAAGACAGGAGGAAGAAAAACACAGGAAACAGACAGTGAAAGTGAAGGTGTGTATTAGTGTAAAAGCAGCTGAATTAAGATGAGTCAGGAGCACCTTTTTTAATACTCAGCTGAAGCTCGTGGAAGTCAAAAGAAGCAGTAAAATAGATGCCTCCGTTTCAGACCTACGCGCCCACCCTTTTTAATTAGGACGTTAACTGCCATTTTATTTCTCTCTCAGTAGTCACTTGGATTTTGTTTCAGACAGTTGTCTCGGATACAGCTTTAACAAATCCACAACATGTGGAGTTAAGCCACACTAGTCCACACCCCTGAAATCACAGTTTAGCAAGTGTGCCTTTCACATTAGCAACAGCTACGAACTTCTGACCTAAATTTTGTCTAGAAGTGCCAGCAATACATGATTTTTTAACAAGCAGGTACTTTAAAGATGTACTAACAGCAACCTGCAAGACTTGTTTTAACCTCAGGAATGATTTCATATTTGTCCAAACTGCACACAGGCACACAGCATCTCTCAAAAAATAAGTGTTCTGAACCGTAGCTTTTTGTAGTTTAGAACCTAAAAGGCATAATCCCATAGGAATAAGGTATGGAGTGATTTGCCACTAAAAAAGATAAAAGATTACCCTGACTGCTGTCTAATTAGAAAAGATTGCTATGTAAATCAGGGATTATGTGTTAGAAAAATAGTTTTGACTCTCAGTTATGCTCTCTTCATTAAGAGAATACCATCAGCCAGAGAGCAATGTTTTTAATCATTATTTCTCTCCTGTGGTTTTGACAAGCCATTACACGCGTATTTTGTTAAATGTGCAGGATTATGACTCCACAGGAGAATACAGGTTGTTATCTGACAAGATGGCAACAGGGGACAAACTGTGACGTGCTGTGTGATGTAAAGGCACAGCTACCAAAAGATACATCAACTCCAGAACCCTTCTTGCCTGAGTTATATTCCAAATAACTTGTCATTGTTGAGGTAATACATACCCTACAGCAGTTTCAAAATATAACAGTCAATTCAAGGTCATGCCACTAACATATTTTGAAAAACTTATGAGAGCAAATCCTGCAATTCAGAAATCATCCCATTAAATTAAAAAAAAGAAGTTATACCATCAGCAGAAAAGCACAGTAAAGATCTATTAGGCAATCAGGGCCATGGTGTTCATAACACCACAACGCTTTCCGATTTATGCAATACTTATGAGGGTTTTGGAAATTCTCAGGTGAAAAGGGTTATAACAATGGTACCGTAATTCTGGCCAGTTCCACAGCATTTGCAAGAGGATTAAACAGCTGCAGAGTCAAATCACAGAAGTAACAAATCGAGGACACTTCTACTGATGACCTGCCATAAGTTAAGGCCTCTGTCTTGCAAAAGCCAAGTTGCAACTCTGCAACTTAATTTTGTTTGTGTCTTACCTCCTGTTGAGTTGGCACTGGAACATGTGCAATAAATTTCTGTTGGCCGTCTTCACCATCTTTTTCCTTGCCACCTTCCTCATCAGACTAAAAAAAAAAATAAAATAAAATTAAGCCACATCAAGTTTGCTTTCTTAAGAGGTTATCAAAAAGCCCTTTTTTTACTTGCTTTGCCAGAAGGAACCAGATAGAGCATGATCAACACTACAAACACAAGCAAGTGGATAGGACCAAACCACTGAGGAATAAGACAAGCATCACGTTCAGATCCTGGTCCTTAACATTCCTAGGATTATTGCTTTCCTTCTCCATACAGCTTTTCCTCTGCTGTGGCATGGGCATGAACATAAAGCTATATTCTCTCCTCTTCCATATCTCTCTGGCTGCCACAGCAAAGCTATAAACAAAATTGGAGCCAGCTAACCAAGAAGGAAGCAAGTGCTTTAAAAATATATGCACCACTTCCCTGTATAGCTCTGTACTGCTTCGTTCTCACACCTGAGAGCTGGGCTTATGAGTCACGACATAATACGAATAAATCAGGGTACGGAAGGAACCACCAGTTTTACCTTATGGACTACCTCCTTTGTATTCTTGTGATAAACCCACTCAGTTACGCACTGCGAAATAAGAACTAGCTTCCAGTACCCCTTTTACGGATCTTGGAGAGCAACGGCCATGTCCCTCACTTCTCTTTCTGGCACTGGGAGCAGGGAGAATAAAGAAACAAGAGCCACGTCACAGCAGCGACTGCAGCATCAGCAAAGCCTTGCTGTATCAGGATTCAACTATAAACAAGACCCTGGCAACCCCTGGTTTTGCTACGCATTGACAGTGTGAAGTTACACTTGTACACAAAACTACTTGTGCTGTTACGGATGTCAACTGTACTTAAAAGCAAGACTGATCAGTGCTAACACCACACTCCCTTACAAATACCAGCACTCCAGGCAGCAACAGTTAAATCGCAACAAGTTCTCAGCTGTCAGTTGTTTCTCACTCAAGTAAAAAGTCTTCCCTAGCGGCCAGCTTTCATCGCTCTCTAAACCTGGACCAAGCGTATCATCTGCTACTCATTTTTACTAAACAGGGAGAACTGGATAGTTAGTTAGGCAGAGAGAAGGGCAGAACACAGCAGCAGACAGGTTCTCAGCAAAATAACCACATCCAAGAAGGCAGTGTAGAAGACACGCGAGATGTGACATCACTTTAGCCATCACATACCTCATCATCATTGACAGCATAGATATTTACTTCCTCTTCTTCCTCCTCCTCCCCTCTTGCAAGTCGTGCTTCTCTCTCCATTTTCCATTTTTCCACGGCTTCTGCTATAACTGGTTAGCAAAGGAAAATGGCAAGTGTATCTGAGAGCATGTCAAAGCAGCATGGTGCAATTTCCAAAGCTTTTCCAGCAGACAAACTTCCGGCTTAAAGCCTCTACATCGGTAGCACTGTAGAACCTTGGTGTAGTATCTAATAAAATATATTAATATAGTCTGAGCAAACCCCAATGCATTGTTAAAGTGTGGTACTTGCTAATGCCTTAATTTGGGTACATTTTAGACTCTAAACATCATGAATAACTATCAACCTACTCTCTGAACTGAGTAATAGAGGGCCCCACGACCAGGCTACAAAGCTCTTACAGCTCTGTAGCATGTCAACACCTATAGGAATGTTGATCACCGTGTAGTTAATTAAACATTACACTCCTTACAGTGACCACCCATGTTAAGTCTCTTTCTTTTCATCTAGTAGTGTATTTCTCTTATTTTGTAGCACGACTCCAACTCTGTAACTCACGGGTAGGCTGCTGGATCTCCGCTATGCAGCAGAGTGCTAGTACGAGTGCTAAAACAAACTTTAAGAAGTTTAATCAGTGCTATCGCCAGTGTATAAAAACCCTAGGGAGGTGCAAGATTAACGCAATTCGGCAGTACAAACCTACAACAATAGAAGTCAGCAGTCATTCCCCCTGGCTCTCAAAGATAAAACATTCAAACGCTCTCCCTGAGAAAGCAAGGTTTAACTAGTGGCACATGGCTGCATTTTTGTGTGGTTTTATAACAGAAAAGGTATCCCACACTAAGAAGGTTTTTTTTCAATATTTTGTTTCACAAAATTTTAAGTCTTCTGATAACATGGTAAAAACCACAAGAGCTCAGACAACACGTGACCCTAAGAGAATCTATAGTGCATCAATAGTACATTAACGGTACAGCTATTGCTTCTGTTAGCACCTCTAGCCTTATTATTTCTAGCGGCACAATCACCGAAGATGGTAATTTTCTTAAATAACCCCACGAATCGAGGTGAGCCACCTCTCCTGCCTGCAATTAGCAAGATGAACACCGAGCGGGAGGCTGTTCTGGGGGCGCTGCACCACACAACTGCCCTTCTTACGCTATCAGCTGTCGGCCGGCCAGCTACCCTGTGCTCGGTTTAAGGCTCCAGGCTACGCTGCAGCACACAGATAAGTGAAAAAGTTCCTTTATTCTCCTCTTCCTCCCTGCCCTGTAACCTAACCGACACGGCATGATCTCTAACGCACAGTACTATGAAGATCTCATACGTGGAAAAGGGATAAATATAAGCAGTGGGTGACCACACCAAGAGATAATAAGTACTGAAAACAGTTACAAGCTTAACGACTTATCATTTAAAAAAATTACTTCCTGCAGTTTTGTTCAAAGTTTTTCTCTCTAATTGCCAAGAGACAATTGTATACAAAAAGACGCAGCATTCAAGCAAAATCCAATTGTTTTATCTGCTGTGCTCTGTGGAAGAGCCCCCCAGGGGCTTCTACACCAGGACCTTTTCCGACAGAGCGCTGAGGATCCGCCTGCAGTGGAAGCCCCAGAAGAAGAGATGATAAAACAAATGTACAAAGCAAACAGCAAAAAACTGGCAGGATCGGACAACGCTCACCAGAAGGACTGAAAGAATTATTATTTAGAAAACAGCTAAGCTCTTAAAGGTGGTGGGTGGCCTCTTGCTTAAAGCTACACAAATTCCAGAAGATGGCACACGGTGCTGAATTTTACAGAGGGTTTCAGGAATTTAGAGGCATAATCCTGATGTCTTTACCGGGCAAGTCAGTAGAACTGAACTAGAGAACTAAGTGAGCAAGTACGTGGATAAATATTATCTATTGAGAAAGTATGGGTTTCAAAAGGAAAAAAAAATATTCACAAATGTGTTGAAGTTCTGAGACAGACAACACATGGACAAATTAACATAGGCCACCTAGACTTCAGGGCTTCCAGCAGGTCCCCTCTAATCACAGCTATGTTTATGGATAAATAATCAGGTGAGACAGAAAACAGATGGTACAGTCAGTTTTCACAAAGGAGGGGGATAACTGCTTGAGTTCCACAGATCTCTCTGCCCCAACCTACTTTTACATTCTTAAGCATGAAAAAGGGGGGTGGGGTGGGGGGGTGGAAGGGAGATGTAGCAAATCACTTGCTGACAATATTAAATCTTTAACAGTAGTAAAGATGAAAGCGAACTCTAAAGCACACCCCTGCTCCCTAAAATGCCTTACACACTAGTGATTTGGACACCTACGTGACAGATGATATCTGACAGCTAAGCACAAGATAACACCCGCGGGGCCAGGGGGAGGGTAGGTAACTTCAGAGTCCATCATCACCCCTTCTCGGACTGATTTATGCAGGTTTTGAATCTCACATACCTTTCTTTTCATGTTCTTGTTCAAGTGGCTCCAGAATACCATCATCTTCATCCCTGTACCCATAGTATTCCGCATCGATGGACTTCATAAGCTCAGCTCGAGTTTTCCGAGGCGGTGGGAGGGCTGCAAGAGCACACACCTATCACTCATCCAGACCCACCTCGATGGCTTGCTGTGCATTCCCAGTGCCCACCAGCCTCACAGCAG